TGTTCTCCTGTGGGTTGTGGTTATTATGTTTGTCTCCTTTACAAGACAAGGTGTTCCTTGAGAGGAAACAAAGCTCCTTTGAAGTCTGAAGGGCCTCACAGAGGTGGGAGAGAGGTTAGGGATTCAAAGCTTAAATCTCAGCTCTAGCACCTATTGGCTGCAGAAATTTGACCTCCCAAAACCTTAGCTTTATCGCCTGAAAAATGAGGTAACAGTATTTACCTTATAGTATTGTTATGATCATTAAAAATAACAAATGCAAGTGTGAGAGCTCTCATTATCTATTATTCATCGTAGTGTCTCTCCAGGGCCTCTCTCAGGGCACCTCGCAGAGTAGGTGCTCCATAAATACTCGTTGCCCCAGTGGAAATGTAGACTGCCAGTAAAGCCCTGTGCTATACTCAAGTCTGGAAATTGAAGACAAATTAAAATAACCATCACAGGAGGCACCTGGGTGGCTCAGTCAGTTCAGGGTCCAACTCTTGATTTCAGCTCAGGTCATGATCTCATGGGTCGTGAGTTCGAGCCCTGCATTGAACTGTCAGCACAGAGCCTGCTTGGGATTCTCTCTCTCTCTCTCTCTCTCTCTCTCTCTCTGTCCCTCCCCTGCTCACACACACATTCTCTAAATAAATAAACATTAAAAAAATAAAATAAAATAGCCATCACAGTACTATAAAACAAAAGACATTAAAAAAGAAAGTTTTCAAATTCAAGCATTGTAGGGAGAAATAAATACATCTACTGTAAAAAGTAACACCTGAAGTACATAATAAGTACATGTGCATCATTTTATGTCACAAGACTGGTGGAATAAACAGGACAAAATGGTTTGAGGACTTCCTTACACACAGGAGCCGGATCTGACTCAGCCTTCTGATGGCAGGTGTAAGGGCAAACTCTCTCAAACACAGCTGTGACGGCCCAGAAAAGACCTCTAAAAGAGAATTAAGTGTGACCTTGGACCAGAACAGATCGTAAACTACATGTAATGATACTACAGCAGAAATCTTTTCATATGATTTGGGGCTACATATCTTATGGTGTCTCATCATAGGAAATGTCCCCCAAAGCATATTTTCATCGCTGAAAGTGCAAGGTCAAAAGAGCTGGGTGTCTTACCTACATGTGGGAAGATGTGTTTTGAATTTCTCGAATGCGATTATACACAGATATTTTTGAAGAGCAGTCCAGCAATAAACTCAAAATGGCCTGTCTGCTACGAAGGATCTGGTATTGGGCTCTAGATGTCTTCCAAAGCAGTACTATCAACAGGACCTCCCATGGGGATGGAAGTGTTCTGTATCTGTGCTGTCCAATTTGGTGGTCACTAGCCTCATGGCTATTTAGATCAAATTTAATTAAATCGAAATTTCAGTTCAGTGATGTACTATAAAGGGTCTTTACACAGCAAATAGTAATGAAGACTGGGTGGTCTTGATGCAAAGATAGACAAAGCAAATGGATCAAACACAATAGCAGTGCAAAATAGGTCTATACATGGCTACCTGATTTATGACACTGCAAGTGGGGAAAATGATCTTTTTTTTTTTTTAATTTTTTTTTAACGTTTATTTATTTTTGAGACAGAGAGAGACAGAGCATGAACGGGGGAGGGTCAGAGAGAGAGGGAGACACAGAATCCGAAACAGGCTCCAGGCTCTGAGCGGTCAGCACAGAGCCTGACGCGTGGCTCGAACTCACAGACCGCGAGATCGTGACCTGAGCCGAAGTCAGACGCCCAACCGACTGAGCCACCCAGGCGCCCCGAAAATGATCTTTTAAATTAACACGTTGGATTAATTGGATATCCACATGGAAGAAAAAGCATCTGGATCTACTTCTAAATCCCACCACTTACAACAGTCAATTCCAAATAGTTTACTGTTCTTAATGGGCAAATTAAAACAGTAAAATTTTTAGAAGAAAACACAGGAGAAATCTTAATGACCTGGAGTAAGCAAAGACTTCTTACATCAGAAACAGTCAACATAGAAATCAACAAACTGGAAGATTACAATGAAGAACTTGTTTATTTCTCAAAAGACTTCATTTACTAAAAGAATGAAAAGAAACCCAGAATTGAAGACGATATTTGCAACACATATACCTGACAAAGGATGCATACAAGAAAACCGCTTACATATCAACAGACTGTGGTATATGTGTCCAGTGGAATACCACTCAGCAATTAAATAGATTACTGACATATGCAACAACATGGAATGAGAAATACAGTATGCTGAGTGAAAGCAGGCTTACACAGGAGTACACACTGTTCAATTCCAGGATTATGAAATTTTGAAACACATAAAGCTATATAGTGGAGAATAAATCAGAATGGAGGTTGTGCCCAGGAAAGTGGAAATGAAGATTGACTGGGAGGAGGCATAGAACTCAAGACTCACTTGCTCAAAACTCAGCAAATATACAATAAAGATTTGTGAATTTAACTTCACGTAAGTGATATACAGGCTAAAGTATTTAGAGGACATGTATTGCTATCTGCAATTTACTTTGAAATGCAACAACATTCAGATGGATAAAGGATAGAAATGTAATAAACCATGTTTCATAAAATGTTATTCATAGAATCTATATGGCAGATTTATGTATGTTCACTGTAAAATTCTTTAAACTTTGTTAAGTATTTGAAATTTTTTGTAATCAAACGTTAGGAAAAATATAAATAAAAAAGACACTCAGCTGACAAAAATGAGTAAAATTTTAACAGACACTTCATAAAATTATAAACAACTAATAAACATATGTAAAGGTGCTCAACCTCCTTAATCATCAGGGAGATGCACATTAAACTCGCATGAAACATGATTATCATCCACCAAAATTGCCAAAATGAAAAAAGATGAAAAGTACCAAGTGTTGATGAGAATGTGGAAAAGATGGAACTGTCATATTTTGCTGATAGGAATGTAATTGGTGTACTTTGGAAAAGTTTAAAAATATCTAAATTTGAACACAGCACAACCTATGGCCCAACACTTCCATTTCTAGGTATATATCCAAGAGTAATGCATTCATCATGTTCATCACAAGATTTCTATTAGAATGTCCATAGCAGCAGTATTTTTAATAGCGCCAAAATATACACTATTCCAATGTCTATCAACAATTGATTGGGCAAATTGTGGTGTATTCACACAGTGAAATGCAATACAGCATCCTCATGAACAAACTATAAATGTAGTTAACGTATGGATGAACCTGATGAACACAAAAGTGAGTTAGAGAAACTAGACATAAAAGATTACATGCTGTAACGGACCCCTTTGTATAATGTACCAACACGAGGATGCTACTCTACTGACCACTTAAACAATTCTAAGGATAGTGGATAACTCTGAGCAGGGAAGGAAGTGGTTAGTGATTAGGAACACTTCTGGGATGCTGGTTACATTGTTTCTTGAGCTGGCGGCTAGTGTGATCTATTTGTGAAATTTTAGCAGGCTGCACATTTATGATTTGCGTACTTACCATAGGTATGTAATATTTTGATAAAAAGCAGCTTCTGCCAGAACCATTGGACAACACGGCCACAGAAGGATTGACATTTGAGAGACCTGAGAAGGATTTGAGACATGATTAGATTTGCATTAGAAAGTTTAATCCTCGGCTTTGTAGAGGATAGCAAGGAGAGGAGCTAAGGGGCTGTTTGTGGAAGTAATCCAGGCAAGCAATTATGAAGGCGTGAATTAAAGTAGGGCAATAGGGCTGACAAGGACAGTAATAGCACCTGCTTCACTGGGGCTCTTCTACTGAGTTAATGGGAAGGCACAATGGGTTTAATTATTGTTCCAAATCAAACAAACAAATCAATGCTCCGTGCATACCATGCAGAGCAAGATATAAGGTATTCGGATTAGAAAGCTTTAAGGGAAACACCTTGCCTTCTTTCAAGCACAGGTAAAATCACCTCCCTGCCTAAGACCGGATAGTGTGGAATACAGAGTAAATGGCCGAGGTAAGGAATACCACGGAACATGTCAGAGCCTGAGCGTGACCTGTTCCTATGGTGCCCCAGGTAAAGGGTTAGGACCATTCGGGCGCCTGAGCTCCAGCACCTGGAGCCCAGCGCTACTATAGGCGTTTCCCCTCCTCCCTACCCACTCAGTTCAGAGGCGGGGCCATTGAAGGGGGCGGGCATTCAGGTCGAGGGGTGGAGTTGGGGCCACAAAAGATGCCAATGGGACGCGAGCTTTCCCATGGTTAGCCAATTGAACGCGCTCTGGGACCGCCCCCATCCGCTGATTGGCACGACGAACCTCCCAGAAGTCTTGTGTCTCGCGAGAGGTCCGGTTTTCTGTGGTGCTTTGTCAATTGGTCTGGCTCCTCCGACACTTGGAACCTTTTGCCGGGTCGAGGCTGAGTGGGGACGCTGTCTGGTGTCGTGGGTACGGCCAGGGACCTTGACGAGGCGCAGGCTGGGAGCTGCGTCTCCTCCCACCCCGGAGCCCGAGGCCCAAGTGAGGCGCGGCCCGGGCATTGGGTTCTCGGGCTGGACCTTTACCTGCCTTCTCCTTCGCAGGAGCAGAGATGGGCTGGCAGAGACGCTCTGCTGCCACTTGGCATAAGGACCCCGTGGTAGGAAAGTGAGACCCGATTAAGCCCTGCCAGGTACTGACTCACTCCACCTATGTGGAAGGGTGTGCAACCTTGAAAGGAACATTTGGATTAAAAATAGTGGGTGAACTTGTGGTTCTAATGCTAACGCCCTTTTTAGTTCATGGAGTACAGTACAGTATACTATGCTTCTAGGGTTTAACCGCCTTACTTAAGTGTCCCAGCCCGTTTTTAACACGTGCTTTTTCTGCTAATTTACAGAGTTCAAGTGGAGTCACACTTACATTTTGTTTTGTTTTGTTTTGTTTTTAATATATGAAATTTATTGTCAAATTGGTTTCCATACAACACCCAGTGCTCATCCCAAAAGGTGCCCTCCTCAATACCCATCACCCACCCTCTCCTCCCTCCCACCCCACACTTACATTTTGAACTTCATTTCTAATGCAGACACTTAAAGCAGCTCTATTCACCTCCCAAAAAGGTAATGCGGATTCCTCCAGTAAAGGAGCATATCAGTATTTATTGAATTCTTGTGCTTGTCAAAAACCACAACATTATCTGTGTTTTCACTGAAGGAAAGGCACTGCCAAAAAAGCGGGGGGGGGGGGGGCCGGGGGAGATGGGGAAGCAAAGGAGGATTGGGAAGCAAATACTTAACCCTGTAGATACCGGAATTTTCACCCACCGGTGTGAAAGTTTGTAGAAAATAAGTGTTGGTGAGGATATGGAGGAACTGGAACCCTTGTGCATTGCTTGTGGGCATGCAAAATGGTGTAGTTGCTTTGAAAAAGTTTGATGATTTCTCAAAAAATGAAACACAGAGTTACCATATGATCCACTGAAAGCAGACACTCAGTTACTGGTACATCCATGTTCACAGTAACATTGTTTCCAATAGCCAAAGGTTAGAAACAACCCAAGTAAATGTAGAAAGGAATGGATAAACAAAATGTGGTATGTACATGCAATGGAGTATTTGTCAACCTTAAGAAGTCAGTAATACCTGCTACAACATAGGAGAACCTTGAAAACATGTTAAGTGAAATAAGCCAGACACAAAGACAAATACTGTATGATTCCACCGATATGAGGAACTTAGTCAAATTCATAGAGACAAAAAGTGAAACAGAGTTTACCAGGGTCCAGGGAGAGGAGAGAATGGGTAGTTACTATTTAATAGGTACAGAATTACCGTTTGGGATGATGGAAACGTCCTGGAAATGTGATGGTTGTACAACATTATGAATGTAAGTAACGCCTCTGAATTACACACTTAAAAATGGTTTATGGCCTGTATATTTCACCACACACACACACACACACACACACACACACACACATAGCAGAACTCATCAAATACAGTCTATATTTGCAACCAATCATTGGGTAACTTTAATTCCAGCATTTGGGTTGTACAAACATAATTTGTGAAAACCTTTTCAAGTTTTGATTTGAGAACTAAATGAGAGAAATTCATGTTCAAAGCTTACAAGATGCTGTTTTTCAGTGTATGTGTGTTTGTTTTAAATTCTGAATACACTAGATAGTATGTGCAGGATGAATATAGGTAACTCGTTTAAATGTTAGAATTCCTAAACACTCAACTACATACATTGTATTATACACACTGGAGACAACCAAATCAATTCTCATTATGTATTTGGAAATAAACTATTTTGATATCTTACATTTGACCTATCAATCACATCATTAGAAAAACCATAATTTCAGGGCACCTGGGTGGCTCAGTTGGTTAAGCGTCTGACTCTTGGTTTCAGCTCAGGTCATGATCCCATGGTCATGAGATCAAGCCTCACATCAGGCCCTGGGCTGAGTGTGGAGCCTGCTTAAGATCCTCTCTTTCCCTCTGCCCCTCTTCTGTGCTCATACTCAAAATAAATAAACTTAAAAAAATAAAGTGTTAAAAACAAACAAAAAAGCCCCATAATTTCAAACTAGCTCTTTCTTAACATACAGCCAGGACAAATGGCATCTTCCATACTGTTATTAGGATGGATTTTATCTTAGGGGTTTTTTTTGGGAGGTGGGGAGGCTAAATGCTCCCTGCGCATAGTTCATATATTTCAAATACCATTTTCTTAGCCATTCGACAAGTAAGAAAATGCTGATTTATTTTCTCCCCTTTTGTATATGGGAAAATACAAGGTGTTCAAGCTGAGATGGTATACATACGATGCCGAAACCTTCATCAACTCCTCCAAAGATTGTTTGCACTCTTCTGTTTGGACTGTTTTTCCATGTGTGGCTTGTGAAATCACAGGAGGAGTGATTGTTGCCCAGGTACGTGTTTAGCTGGCACAGCAGTGCTTTCCAGGTTGCCCACTAACCTTGTGAGTACATGTGAATAGAATTATTCTTTTTTCCACCATCAAAATGAGTGACCATTATTTAGAGCAACGAATTCATGTTAAGTTTTGTGTAAAGTTAAATAAATCTGCAAGTGAGACACTTGAGATGTTAAAAGTAGTTTATGGTGAAGAAGTAATGTTGAGAGCAAGAGTTTTTGACTGGCACAAAAGGTTTAAAGAAGGCAGAGAGGATACCATGGTGATGTGAAAAGTGGCTGTCCAGTTATCCACAGAACACAGGAAAACATTGAGAAGGTCAGAAATCGGGTTGGCTCAGATAGCTGAAAAGTGAAATGTAGACTAAGAAACAAACTCATGCTGAAAGAAAACTTGCACATGAGGGAAGATTCTAGGAGGATTATATCTCATTCTGTTGTGGTTCAGGACCCTGCCGAGGCCAAACGATAACAGAGCTGCACATGAACCTGACACTTGGGTATATATTCAGGGCACAATCCTACATACAGTTTAGTTTCACTGGTCTTGGAGTAACTTGTATCTGAATCTCAAGTGAGCTGAGCTTTTTCAAATGTGTTCCGTTGGCTTTGTAGGTACATGATTTGAGCAGAGTCAAACCTGTGGAGTTGAGTGTGACGAAGTAGAGAGCGTGGACGTAGAGGTTTATTGGGAACCTGGCCCTCTGTTACTGCAGTACCTAAATTTCTACCTTGCCTTTTCAGGGTGAGCTCATTTGAATAATCAGTAGGTTACCTACAGTCTGGGCAGTTAAACTTTCAACAGGGAGCTGGACATCAGTGTTACTCTGTATGGAAATACTTCATGTTATTTTTTTAATGTTTATTTACTTTTGAGGGAGAGAGTGTGAGTGGGGCAAAGAGACAATGGGGGGACAGAGGATGCAAAGTGGGCTCTGCGCTGACAGCAGCGAGCCCGATGCGGGACTTGAATTCACAAACCGTGAGATCATAATCTTAGCTGAGCCTCCCAGGTGCCCCTTTGTGGTACTATTTCAACAACGATAAGAAAAGAATGGCCATCTTTAGGCAGAAATATTCAGACTTGTAATAATGGAATTTTTGTGGTGGGAGATTGAGGTCAGATGTTGGAAACTGGAATTCAAATCTGTCAGCAAGAATGAAACAGAAGAGGCTGTAGGAATAGTGGGCAGTTTTAGTAAAAATATACTCTTCCCTTCCACTCCCCCCACCCCCAAATCAGGACCTGATTTTGGTCAAAAGCCCACAAAACTTTCTATTCTTTATGTAATCTAAATTTTAGTTTCAAATGGATTCTTATATATAAACTGGGTCTGGAATTTGGCTTGAAGGGTAGACAAATAGAGTTCAATTTTGTTCCTAACTTCTTTCACCAGGAGAACGAGATTCCATGCTTTTGAAAGGCATGAGTTTTGAAAGGCATGACTGCAATTAGCAACGTGTGAATAACAACATACACAATCTCTTCATCAACAACAAGGAACTGCATTCTGACCTTCACATTGTCTACGTGTGCTACTGAGTGTGGGGTCATATCCTAAGCTTCAGCTCTAATAAGCATTCATCAAAGGGAAGGTATGATCTTGGATATTCAGTTGGCCACAAATTAGCTTTAAGTACATTTATGGTCAAGTCAAATGGTAGCTTTGCTGAAACATTAATAGAAAAGCATTGGTAATTCATGTCAGAATGAGATACAAAATAATAGGTGAAAAATGATTTCACATAAAAGAAATTTTGATAAACCTAGAAAACAATTTATTTTTGTCCATTAACATTAGCATTTTAAAGAGCTACTTGAATCACATGTTGTTCCTTCCCATAAGAAGAGATTTTGAGTACAACAGGATGAATTTCTCATTGAGAAACTTGTTTTTGCCCCAGTTTCCTTTCTAGTCTCCAGTAGGACAGTGTCATCATTCAGTATTGGTGTTGTAGCAACTTAGATGCACCAAATTGCAACACATAGGACTTAAGTCAGAGCCCCATGGCAGTGACTCTGAAAAGACTAGTTTTATTAGTTATACTATTAAGGGGTTTTTGTTGCTGTTTTAAAAGACTCCCAGAAATCCAAATTTACATTTTGTGGAACATGAGCCAAAACTAATTGAGGTTGTTATGGAAAAATGGTCTCATTTTAATGGTCTATATTACCTCTGGGACCCTGCTGGTCAAAGCTGTGTGGCCCACAAGGCAAAAATTAGAATGACGTTTTTCATATTGTCTTAATTTTTTATTACTGACTTTGTTACAGCTTGATCTTTGGAGGTGCTTCGTACTGTGTAAATGAAATTTACTGAAAATGTACATGAATAACTGACGTCCCAATAAACCATAAATTGATTTTTTTATATTAGTGTTGATAATCTGTGTTGTTTTATCAGGCATTTGCTAATCCTCCATATTTTAGCCACCTGCTCATGTCTCTAATGGTTTTAATCTAAATAAAGTTTAACTTCATTGCCATACCTCAAATTTTTTAAAAATCGACTAATGGATAGGTAAGATCTAACCCCCCTGACCCGCAGACCCATAACCCATAATAAAAACACAGCGTAGGAGGCAATGTGGTGAGGTTCCAGCTCCAGCTAGACTTGTGATCTGAAGTATTAGTTACCAGAGGCTAGCTACTGCAACCAATTACAAGCTCGGTGGCTTAGAACAACAGAAGTTTATTCTGTCAGTTTTTGAGCCCCAGAAATCAAGTATATGCTCTGGGGAGGAGGGGGTCAGTTGCTGGAGTCTCCCAGTTTCTGGCGGCTGCCAGCCTTACCTAGCCTGAATTGTATGTACATCATCTTCAAGGCCAAAATCAGATCTTTTTTAAAAATTTTTTTTAAAATATTTATTTTTGAGAGAGAGAGTGAGCAGGGAAGGGGCAGAGAGAGAGGGAGACACAGAATCCGAAGCAGGCTCCAGGCTCTGAGCTGTCAGCACAGAGTCGAGGTGGGGGTCAAACCCACGAACCGTGAGATCATGACCTGAGCCAGTCAGTTGCTTAACCAACTGAGCCATCCAGGCATCCCTAATCTCTTTCTACTTGTCTTCACACAGCCTCCTCCTTTGAGCATGGAATCTTCTGCCTCCCTCTTACAAAGGCATTTGTGATCAGATTTAGGGCTCACAGATTATCTAGGATAATCTTCCCATCTGCAGATTCCTAATCTAATCACATCTGCAAATCACCTTTTCCAAATACAGTAACATTTACAGGTTTGAGATTAGGATTATCTTTGGGAGTCATTATTCAGTCCACTATCCCATAGATTTTTCTCTTCTGTAAAACACCCTATAACTTCTAGAACAGTACTGCCAATGAAACTTTCTGTAGTGATAGACATGTTCTGTCTCTGTTGCTAGTACAGTAGCTTCTAGCTACTTGTGACTACTGAGCATTTGAAATGTGGCTGACACAACTGAGGAGCCACATTTTTCATTTTATTCAGTTTTGATTTAAATTTAAATAGCCCCATGTGACTAATGGCTACCACACCGGACAGTGTCTGTAGTTCTAAATCCTGGTCTCTGTGGCACCTTAAAAAAAAAAAAAAAAGAGTTCCATTATTTTTCCAGTTTCACTGCCTGGCTTAAGACTGCTTACATTTTTCACCCAACTACACACACACACACACACACACACACACACACACCCACCCACACACACACCCCCACCCACCCACATCATCTCCTTCAGGTTTTTTATCATCAGCACTCCCTGGCCAGCCCTGTCTGAACTTACAAATGTCCTCCAGTCAGTGCAAATACATGTATTTCCTATCCCCCCTCCCACTTTTTCCCCTCTAGCAATTTTGGCCTTCTAACACATCTGTTGTGTAAATTACCTAAAAATCACAAGGCTGGGTTTTACAATGTAATAGGTAGTATTAAAAAATGGAATTTAGATACAAAGGCTGCAACAGTGTTATGAAATAAGCATTAAGAGGGATTCCAAGGTGGGGATGCGGGGGGGGGGGGGGGGGGGGGG